GCACGAAGCACTGCTGCATCTAACCATCGGCGGCCATGGCCAGGGTGCTCGGACGAGCAGCGTGTCCACCTGCCGGCCAGAGGAAGACATCGGAACGCCCAGTTGCTGGCCGGAGCAAGCCTGTTGCATACACACCCATGAAGAAGGATGGTGATCAGAAAAACAAGAATTGGAATTGGAAACAGTAACTTGGAGCTTTCAGTTCAATCCCTCAAGGGTCCTTAGCCATGTTATGGTCCAGCCATACAGGGTACGATGTTGAAGGACTTGAGATCTTTGGGTATGGGAGGTTTCTGATCACATACTATTTCTATTCCAACACATGCATTGTAGCTGTCTTGTCCGCAACGCTGGCTCAGGTATGAGACCCGAAGAAAGAATCAAAGGTACCGTCTGAGCGCTGAAGATTTCGCAAAGATCCAAGGATACAACGATCTGATGAAGGAGGTGGATGAGGCGAAGGCGATGTTGGCCCAAGTTCATGACCAGCAAGGATTGGTGAAGAGTTTGCGGGAATCTGCTGAGCGCATACGCCTCCTGGAGAAGGAGAATTTGGACATGTCTCGGATTCTGAAGATGCACGTCTCGAGCCCGGATATGCTTCCACAGAGGGCTGCAGATGCAGTGATCAAGAGGGAGGTTCCATGATAGACCTTTCGGGGCGTCCAGGAGGTGTCACTTGGGGCGTCCTGCAGAGCTTCCAGCAAGTCAGGACTGGGGCCGTACACCAGAGACCTTGGACGACAGATCTTCTGAAGAGCCGTCAGAAGTGGAAAAAAAGGTGTGGCTTCCATACATGAACTGGGTCGCAGAAATAAGAATGACGGGTAGTGGCGTTCACAACTTTTCTTTGTATCCTGTGACACGCTGGACTGGGTCATGACATTCTGAATGCTTTGCAGTCATGACTCCTGACTGCACATTTTTATCTTTGATTGTTTGCTGGCTGTCTTTTTCCCGGGTCGGCCACCCAGGTTCGGTTAGTGAGCCTTCAGGGACTACAGGATGGAACCCCTCTCACTTTGTGGTTTTTGCGATCGCATATTCCCAGTCGGTTCTTTTGAGCCACGGCATTTTTGCAGCAACCTATAGAGAATAATCTCGGATTTGGTCACGCATTGCTCCATTTCCTTGGCCTGTGTGCCCTCTTTGGCCCAAGCAAGAAGGCCACTGACATTTTCCATTCCCTCATTGACCGTTCTCTTTGAGATGCCGGACCTCACATGCACGATTAAGCGCTCCCTGGCCTTGCAGATTCCTTCCACTGGTGCAGTAGCGAAAGGCTCCTTGTGAAGGTCGTGATGATTCTAAATCAATTGAAAGGACAATGGCAATGACAATGACATGACTGGCAAATGACATGAGTTGTCCACAACTTGGGGTCCGAGCTGGCCACATCTGGAACAAATTTCAAGCCTGGCATGGCAGGGCAGCAGCTGAAAAACATATCATGTACAGTGAAAGTCTTAATAGCCACGGAGTTGCAAAAGTATTCGCTGTATACAAAATATGGATTGCTGCTCCTAGGGGGTCTGACCCCCCTACCAGCAGCAAACCGGTGACGTCAGCGGTTCGCTGCCCCCTCATGTACGGTTCGCTGCCCCCTCAAGTATGGTTTTGTGCTGGCAGGGGCGTCAGACCCCCTCCTTGCCTAAAATATACACTAACATTTTGGTAGGGGGCAGCAAAACGCTGACGTCAGCGGTTCACTGCTGGTAGGGGGTCAGACCCCCTAGGAGCAGCAAACTATGCATCAAAATTGGTGGCCTCTAAGTGCGAACTTTTGCAACTTAGCAACTTTTCCCATATTATATTTGAGGGAGCAGCAAACCACCGACTTCAGCCCAAAATTTGCAATTTTTTTGAGGGAGCAGCAAACCACCGACGTCAGCGGCTCGCTGCGGGTAAATATTTTTAAACAAATATACAATCTTTTCCACTGATGTACATCAAAATTGTCTAAGTTCTTTTTGGGACCTGGGCTAAATACTTTAATCCCAATGCCAAAGGACTGAGTGTGCAAGAAGCTCCGGCCTGGTTGGTGACAATGTTGCATGGCATAATTTTAGCATCAGAAAACACACTGCAGTTACCATGGAATCCTACAGGCAGGACCATTGCTATAAACATTTCAGTTTGTTTGCCACACAAGTTGCAAGAATGGCGCTGTCCACGCAAGTTGCAAGAAGGCCGCTGTCCTCGTGATTTCCATCTACAATAGCCATGGCCGCAGCCTAACTTTCCAAACTTAGCTTTCCAACTTTTACAGTACATGATATGGCCTCTAGCTGCCCTGCCATGCCAGGATTTGAAATTTATTTCAGACGTGGCCAGCTCGGACCCCAAGTTGTGGAAACCTCACTGTGTCATTGCCAGTCATGTCATTGTCATTGTCTCTTCAGTTGGTTTAGAATCATCACTTGACTTTCCAAACTTAGTGTGACAATGATCCGTCACTGACCTCACTGTCACACTGTCTTGGATCTCACTGATTGCATTGTCACTGTCAGTCTCATCAACGCATGTTTTCAGCAGTGACTTGGATCAAAGGAGTGGCCAGGTGATCATTGTCCTTCACTTTCGGCCCTGCTCATGCCGCTGCGTCTTGCCAGTGACTGCACTGGACTGGAACAGATGGGCCAGTGGCAGCCAATATGTTGGACTTTGTCAACGTATTTGGTGAACCGGATGAATTTATTACTTGAAAGAGACATTTCACTTAATAAGAAGCGTGTCCTGTCTGTCTTGTCCTGTGTGTTTGTCAGAGCACTGAGCACGGCAAAAATCAAAGGCAGTGAAATTGATCCTCACGGTCGAAGTCACTTGAAGATGGCTAAGCGCCTGGGCCATGGACCGCACAAGTTGCACAAGCAGGCCGGCCGAGGCGCAGAGATGGATATCGATTGCTATTGCTGTGGATTTCCTTGTCAAGCTCATTCCACGGCGGGCAAGAGGGCTGGGACATCTGACTCCCGCGATTTGAGTGGCACGATCTCTGATTGGGTGGTCAAGCACCAGCCGAAGGTTTTTATCTTGGAGCAGGTGCCGGGGATTGCAGCTGGTCGCATGAAGGCTGGGTGGGACATTCATTGTCATTAATATTATCGTCCAAATTCACTGTCGTTGTCATTGTCATTCATTGTCCAAATAATACATTCAACATCAGTGTCACTGTTGCAAACAGCCTGAGTCTGAATGTTGTGGTGATTCATTGACTCAGGGGACCTACGAGAAGTTGATGGGTCTACAAGCTGAACACTCAGGCCATTTTTGCCCCAACGACGTCGCCGGCTGTACTCTGTGGGGATTAAGCAGATCAAGAAGACACCGTTGAATCCACCTGATCTGGAGAAGTTGATGCCAAAGGGAGGAAGTCTACATTGAAGAATTTCTTGAAGAAGGGCCAATTGTCCACACCTGCCACTTGGAATGATTCTGGTTCAATGCTTTTGATGATGCAATGTAAGTACTGGTCAATCAGGTTGAGCTGTGCAAGGTTGACTTTCCACTTGGGCTCAACTTGGCTTTCTTTTATTGAACTTTGGTGTCCTTTTGAAAATGACAGTGATGACAATGATACTACTCAATGGATTTGTTTGCAACCGATGATTTGGGGTGATGGAACTCCGCCTTGTTACTTTTAACATGTGGCCCAGGCCGGACAAATCAGCAAGAGTGCCTTGAATAACATCCGGTGGGGCAAGAAGAAGCTTCGCAGTCAGGGCTACCAACCTGACAAGGTGATGGGATCATTGATTGCAAGGCAGGGAAGAGTCATCGACAAGTCGCTGTCGGATGCTGCCCTACGATCACGAAGAGCCGAGGACAGGATCGGAGCTTCTGGATCACTAGCCAGAGACGTTTTCTGAAGAGGACTGAGCTGGCCAAGTTGCAAGGCTTTGATGACCTTGTGTTCCCGTCGTCCATCCCAGCGGGATCACGCGGAAACATGTCAGTGCCAGTTCTTCAATTCGTGACGCGTCATGCCCTGGCAGCAGCAAAGCTCATTTAGATAAATTTCGACAGGCCACTGGGCACTTATCATAATTCAGCAGGTGTTGGATCATCTTGGGGCCAGCGAAACAGGCTTTCTCAGTTGTGATTTCAATCTTTCATTGCCATTGATATTGTCATGTTCAATCAGTCAGTGCGTTCAACTTTTCACATTGGATTGTCATGTGTCATTGTCATTGAGGTCATTGTCAATGATGTTGCCAATTGTTACTAACTGAAAGCAGTCATTGTCAGATCAAGTATCAAGGGCCTGCATTTGTCATGGTGAAGCGGAAGGCCGATGGTAGCGATACTGCTATAGCAGGAAAGCATTGCACCTTGCTGATGATGTGAACTCCACACATTTGGCAGATGTCCAGAAGGGCGTTATTGAACGACAATGAGCTAGGTTTGACAATGATGTTCACGGAGCTCTGTATGTTTTGTTCACTGGAGCTCCCATCAGTTTGACATTCTCGTTTGAAATTAACATCATCATTGTCATTGTAAAATTTCCGACTTTAAGTTTCATTGTCATTGTCAGTAGCTAGGTTTCACTGTGAAACACTTTTTTTCACCTTTAATTTCACTGTCCGGACTTTTCCGGACATTTTCCGGACATTTGCATCATTGACATTACCTCATTGTCAAAAAATCTATATACACAAAAGCAAAAGCAACTTTTGCAACTTGCAAACAGCCACCCAGTAACTTATATAACTATATACAACCTCGGTGACTGACCTTTCTCCACAAGGGAACAAACACGTGGGAATGACATGTCTCAGCAGATCCTCCACTCAGCTCGGCCTGCAGCGGAAAGGTCGTTGCCTTCTTCAAAATCCGAAACGAGAAACGCGACCACTTTGTATCCATTGGCAACCAGCTTTCGCTGGAGTCAGGAAATCTGGTCAACTTGGTTCTACTGGCAATTCCCGATGTTGCTTTGTTTTGCAGTCGTCGTACCCCCAAGTGTTGGTCATGAGAGTTGACCATGAGATTCTGAGGAGATCTTTGTGAACTATCAAGACAATTCCCATTTGGATTCACATGGTTTCGCTCCTTTTGCCGAGGTGGGCCATTTGCCGACCGCACTCGTTTTTCTCTGTCCGAAACGCAAGAACCGCCTGGCGGTTTACACTGTGTTTGGCAAAATTTTGGCAAAACTTACCTTTCGTATCACTGTTCAGTCCTGGCGGAAGTCTAAGCCACGTACGTGGTGCTTGGCTTTTGGTCTCGCTCTCTCTTTCTTTCTCTCTCATCGCCAAGTAGGATTCTCATCTCCCGCCTTGGGATAGTTTCAGAGATAGCCGCTACTTGTACCACTTACAGACAAGGATGCATCAAGAAACGAGGTAACAAGATGGACATGGAGTCTGAATAATTAGTCCTCAGTCCTCGGGCCCTCGGGTGAACAGTTGCAGGTGGAGGAGGGCATGGAGGTCCTGGATCATCTTGGATCGGTGCTGGGCAACCTCTATGGCGAAGTGCAAGAGCTTTGCACGCCCAATCCGGATCCCTTTTGTCGATTCCGTTGCTTGGTGGAGGTGGACATTGAATGACATGCCTATGGACAGCCTATGGATCCACCATCATGGCTACCCTGTTCCCATTCCCCTCATACACCCTGACTCACCTTCTCAGGGCGATGGCGGATGCTTAGGGCCATAGGGGTTCGCTTGTACCCGAGAACACCTTTCAGAAATGGCAAGGGAACGGTCGCGTGTCGACCCCCAAATGGGCCAATCAAATGTTTTTCATAGGTTTCCGTTCACCGAAGTCTTCAATTTGTTCTTGGAGGTGTTTTTTTTCTTTGAGGAGGGCAGGGTCGCTGGCCGGTGTGGAACAATCACCAATGCGCATGAATTGGAATAGTCGTGGGAGGCTTGACGGCTCGACACGGAGTTATGCCTATATAGATAGGTGGGAACAGACATCATTGGAATAAAAATGATTCCACCAATTTTTGGTTTAGTAATTGTTTTCAAAAGTACAACATGCATGATAAAAATGTAGGCTGGTGGGCACATTGCAAAGTATCCCCCACCCTTCAACTCTGAAGTCATATAGGGCATGCTTTCATGAGAATAATTTCAGGTGTCCTTCCCTACCTTCTGAACATGGTGTTGGAACGATGTACCATAATGTAGGGATCCATCAACATACAGAGGTAGCTCTTCTGAAGGGATCCAATCCTGTTGATGCACAATATCCAATACGTACTGCTCGAGACTACTCGATAGGTACCCTTTCACTCCGTGGTTTTCTGTATCTAGCAATAAAGTTCGGTTGGCCCACGGTGGCGCGGGGCTTGTCCATGATGCGCTTGGTTTCTGGCTTCATTGAGACGATCTCAAAAGCGGGCAATCCGATTCCCGATCCACAACCGGTTGCTGGCGGTCTTTGGCGCTCCCAGAGGGGGGTTCTGGTTCTGGTTCCGTTTCGGTGAGAGCTCCAAAAAAAAGGTGTAGACGGGCAAATAAAGCTGCGGAGTTTAGAATTGTTGGGTCTTACATTTGTTTTGAAACACATGCATATGTTGAGACACTCCCATTGACCATGTGTCACGAGTTGCCAGGTGATGGCCTGTGTCAGGGCGTGAATAGCAGCACATTGATCGCGGAGGGGAATGACTTTTGGAGGAAAAGATCGTGTTGGGACAGCGATGGAGTGTTGGTCCCACTGATGGAGTTTGGAGTTCAACAGCCTCTGGTCGATGGACAGTTCCACATCTTTACGACGCTTTGGTCTTTGGTCACCCTCAGGTAGAATTTATTTTAAGGTTGGTGAGTAGTGTGTTTCATTGAAGATTTTGTTGTGGGTTTGTCACTAAAGCATTGTTGAGTGAGAGATACAGAACACAGCCTCCATCCACCTACAGGAACATGTGATTTTCAACAATGTGTTTGTTTGTTGTTTGTTTGTTTGTTTGTTTTTCTTTAAACATGTTTCAGAGTGCCGCAGAGAGAAAGCAAACATAAACAGGTGGTGCCCAATCATCCAACCACCAGGTGCCTTGTAGCCACAGTCGCTCAATGACCCAAGGGAGTTCCTTGGACCGCTCAAATGACCCTTGGACCGCCAATGGTCGTTGGGCATGCTGAAAACCAACTGCCAGGGGTTCAACAACGAAAGGACCAAAAGGTGGCTGGATCCGTATACGGAGTGATTTTCGTTTTGGCATCCGCAATGGCTTCCGCCGGACCAAGGAGTACATCCGCTCCGGCTTCCCTAAGATGTATGATCTGCGGATTGCTGGTGTGGAAGAAATCATTGAGAACGAGTGACCTGAGAGTATACGGACTTTGTTTGAAGCTCCCTAGCAAGCGCCAGCTAGGCCAAGGTTGGACTTTGGAGAGTTGTTTCAAGACCCTTCGATTTGACATCCACTAAGAAAAATTGCGCACAGAAACTGAGGAAACTGTTTAATTGGACATTGGACGAGGTACCATCCAACGAACAAATCCAACTCCGGCCGGCTACCCGGCCGAGGTTCCCTATAGTGGTTTTCAAGGCACCAGTTCAGTGGTGAATCCGGTTCCGCCGAGGTCGAAACCGAACAGGCAGGATTTGATACGCAGATAGACGTTTTTGGAAAGACAACCCTGGATGCTGCAATTTGGACGCAGAAGCAATTGAGAAGTTGGAAAAATCGGACACGGACCTTAACATGTCAAACCGGATTCATCCCAAACCAGCTGTAAAGATTGTAAAGGAGTCAATTTTGTGACCGGCGGCTTGTCTCATAAGAAGACTAGCTGGCCTTGGATGCCCTGATCCAAAAGAAACGCGATGCTGCGCATGAATCGGAACATAGGTAGCGTAAAATTTCAAAAAAAGTCATGAACTGGGGAATGAGATGCAATCCCAGCAAGGGCAGAATCACTGTTGATGATGTTTTATTGTAGTTGACATCTTTCAGGAGGCTTTTCTTACGAGTGGATCCAGCAACTTGGATTTCAGCCGAGGTTTAGAACCGGTGCCACAAGAATGGCATAGAGTCCCCGAAGCGCTAGACATTTTGGACATGGATGTGCTAGATTGCAACAGCTATAGGCGGTGGAAGCCATAAGTGTCCAGCCTGGGTTCTTTTGGTTCTTTAAATAGATTTGTGGCTTTGTTAAGGATCTAGGTACAGCTCTTGACTCACTTTAACGGTCCCGATATCATCACTCATAATAGAAATGTTTCGCAGGAGAATCTCCATTTGTCCCGCAGCTTTTCCCGTCGGAAGAAACACCAGACTATGAATTGTGTGGCACATCTCAGGTATCCAAGTGATTTACGCCAGCGAGACCTGGGTTCTCCAGCAAGGTGTCTTGGTCGAGAAGATGCGTGGGCCCATCTCTCGTGCGTCGACTTTGTGAGTTTAAGATAGCGGTGTTACTAGTAGCGATGCCCTTTGTTCCTAGTAGCTTCTTGCTATTAGTAATAAGGCCAGGAGCCCCTAGTAGCGTCCTTGCTCCTAGTAGCGATGCCCTTGTTGCTAGCTTCTTGCTACTAGTAGTAATAGCCTCCACCCTAGTAGCGATGCCCTTGTTACTAGCTTCTTGCTACTAGTAGTAATAGCCTCCACCCTAGTAGCGATGCCCTTGTTACTAGCTTCTTGCTACTAGTAGTAATAGCCTCCACCCTAGTAGCGATGCCCTTGTGAGGAAATGAACAGCTGACAACTTTTACAATACGATACTTCCGCGGGGAGGCTCATTCTCATCAGCCGCATACTAACTTCACCCTCGGTCACACTTGAATTGGTGGGAGACCAGTTCCAACCATGTTTGGAAGGGGATGTATCCAGAAGTCAGCGCAGTTGGCTGTAGTGAGTTGAAGGAGAGAATCATTCACTCAACAAAGGGCCAGTTGTTGCATCCCCTTCGTTCCAGGGCCCTTGGCAAGGGATAGGATATTTCTTCTCTTGAGTGTGCCAGTAGATTGCACAGTGAAGAGCAACATCCCATGGAATGGGAGTATCCATGAAACGAGTTCTCTCGATTCTTTCTTTTCCCACAGATCTTACGCGCGATCGCTTTGGTTCAATTCGAGTGTTTGCAGAATCTTACTTGTTTGTTTATAGTTGATCAGAATTCGTTGTATATAAGCCTACATTATGATATCTTTGGAGGTGTGCTGATGTTTGACATACTAGTTCCAAACAAGTTGACCTTCAGTGCCTTTGAGACTCAAGCCCCTTTTTGTGGTAAGCTGGGATGCATCCACTGTTGTCGCGATCCTTCATGGAACACGTTTGGGTGATCCTTTGGAATTGTTTGATCCCTACTTGAGAATGCTTCTCCCAGTTGACTAACATGGTTGGGAGGTTTGAACCACCAACAAGACATCGTAGAGACCATTGGAAGGAGAAGTGATTTTTTTCAGTAAGCAGCACACACTTTCTTCAATGATGATTGCCCATGAAAGAAGCCACATCTCCGTACTACCATTGATTGTAATTGCTACATCTGTTGTAATTGAGGTGCAAACTGTGTGCCACAGGGAAGCCCCCTGAGAATCTCCTAGACCAGACCCCGTTTGCTGGGAGATCTCCCCTCACTCACTCGCTCCACGGGGCAGCCGTCCACGTCCAAACTCAGCTAAGCCTCAGTGTACAACCTGGCAACGACATGAAAGCAGCACAAAACAAGATATGTGTATGTGTGGCTGCTGGGAGAACCAGGAAGCCTGCATCAACATCACCCCACTCTATGCACGGTTATGCACGATCATGTGCCCAGTGGAGTTGCACAAACGGGCGACCCAACGGCACACATGCTCGCATTGCTCAGCGCTGCCAAGCAAGCTCCGCACACACCGCCCATCACTGCCTCTCAGTTCTTCACCAAGCTTTTGCAGCAAGTCGATGGCTTTCCACAGCGACCCAGGTGGCCAATCAACACCCCTCAGTCACAAGGCGACCAAGGCCTCCTCAAGAGGTTTGTCATCCAGACGGAAGAGCTTCTTGTGCGAAACGTGCATCTTCTGCACCCTACACACCTTCACTGCCTGGGCCAGGGGTTCTTTTGGTGGGTGTGCAGTGAGGAAGTCATCGGTCAGCCAGTGGAGCTGGGCATCGGCGTTGGTTTTCACGGCCAGCAGTAGTGCAAACGAAGGTATACTCACCAGGTTGGCCCCTGGTGCGGTCAGCATGAAGAGTACGTGCTTGCTCACGTACTTTGACTGCACCACGGTTGGCCTCAAACTTCAAGGTGGAGTAAGCCATGCTGCACAGCAACCCGACGAGCACAAGTAGTTCGCGTTCGAGGTCAGACCTGCCGCTGGCAACGGCCCTGGCTTTGTTTGCTGGCTCGTTGGCAGGATGACCCAAATGACTACCCACTGCTCAGCCATGGCGCCAATAGTGGTCAAGTGTAGCTCGCTGAAAAGACACAGGCAAATGCGTGACCAAGTGGGCTTGAACCTCTGGCAAACTTCTGAACTGGGCACACACAGCGCAAGTGCTTAGAAGCTGAATGGTGACATGTCGCACTGTAGCACTACCACTGGCCCTGCTGCAATATCCTCGTGAGATGCTGTAGACCAAATGGTTTTCTGCCACCTTTTGACTCGCCAGTGCCTTGCATGCGCAATGGTTGCCACAGTGTCTATTGCTGTGAACCTGGTGGACCTTGAGGGCAAAAGTTGCAAAAGCACCGCAAATCTGGCCATGTCGCAGAAGTCTGCAAGTGTGCCTGGCGTCCGCCTTTGCTGCGCCTGCAGGAATCGCGGCCGGCAACCACCCCGGTGGAGCTGCTGTAAGAAGAGTCACATCGCAGGAACACGTCTTAGACCTCGTCTGGTCATGGAGCGGCTAGGTTGAGCTGCTGAAAAAACGCATCGTCCTCCACACATTCGGCCAAAGCCTGCAAGTTCGACGCCAGTTGGCGCATCCATGCATGTGTAGTGGCTGGCAGTGGGCCCCGCACAAATGGATCAGGTGTACCTGGTATGGACCCAAAGAAAGCGTACAGCATGCTGGCATTGTCTTGCGGTCGCCTGACAATTTCTTGCCAACACAATCGCTCAATTATAACCAAAGTAAAGGAACTTGGAACACCACGGAACATTTTTACCACACGGACTCATTGGTTGCAGCATGAGGCCTGGCACTTTTGTCACACGCCTTGCCTTGCTAAACCTTGCAGCCAAGCTTGACCAATGTTCGGTCACGAGCTGCTGTGCCAGCTGGTTCACCACCGTTGTTGCCAAACCGCTGCGTGCCGCCCCGACCACCATCTCTAACATACACCTGACCCGAAACATGTTTATGCTTTAGGCATACGACTTTCGTCCACTGACAGCCGCCGGTAGGTGACCGGGCCAGCGAATGCCTCCATCAAGCTGAGATGCCTGTAGAGGAGCAAGAAGCCCTCATGATGCAAAGATGCCTCAAGAAGAAGGAGGCCACAAGAAGAGAGGTTTGGGGTGTGTGTTTGTGCGTTTGAGAGGTGAGTTAACGATGAAGAAGGGGCACTGATAGGTGATTCAGATATATTCAGATAATTCACATGTCACACGATGTCCTCCAGATGCTTGGGAGGGGTATGATGCTGCGGGGTTGACAGGTGCATAGTGACCTCCACCAAGATTTGCGGATTCAAGGTTCTCAGCATGGCCTCACACACGCTTATGCGATGCATCAATTGCCGGGCAAAATCAGAGAAGCTTGGTTCTCGTTTGGTTTTGGCCTCGAATGCATGAGACCTGGGGCCCTAATTAGGGTACAAAAAATATCGAAAAGTAGTTCGAGGCTCTTCATGGGTGCAACTTCGGTGTCCAAGGTTCGTTTCCCCATCTCCAGAAAATTGGATAGTGAGTCCACATGATGATATCAGAGACCAACTCAGACCACTTCGGATGTGACAAATCGATAGAATGCCTTGGACCGTTAGATGGGATCCACAGAAACCACCCGTCTGGCGATAGTGCCTTGCTTCGTGCCTTGCTTTGAACCTACGGCACTGGAATCCACAATCGCCAGACGGTGTATTGGGTATTTCATAATGGGTCCTTCATTCTGCCTACGTACATGGGCCATACCAGACAAGGCATTCGCATGGTCCTTGTTTTTGCGCATATCTCCAATTTGTTATTTTTCTTCATCAAGTTGCGTGCACACAGGGACATGTCGCATGGATGTGGTTGTGAGTCGAGACTAGAGACCGGAGACCACAGCAGTTCAACCCTGCAAGTAGGTAAACAAGCAAACATCGTAAATATACAATAAACCATTAACAGTCTTCAACAGTGCCACAGGGCGACATGACCCCCAACACCAAGCAGTGCCCGGTGGGCGGTGCAGGCCGCCATGAAGCGGGTCATCCAGAAAGCCTATGATGCTTGGACCATCCGGGAATGGGTTTCGGGGGGGATTCTTTGGCACATCCGGTGGTGATTGGGATTTAATATACACTCCAGGGGTACGGATTCTGGTGCACATGCTCTTTTTGCAGACTCATATCGTGTGAGCAAGCTGATCGAGCCCTGTGAACCTTGCGTAACTCAAGCACATGGCAAGAGACTTTGGCAATGGACATGACATGACCGAATGGTA